GTTGGACTAGATGATCTTTAAAGGTCCCTTCCAACCCAAACCATTCTGTGATTCTACACGTATGTGCATGGGAGATTGAATCATGGTACAGGACCCTATGTGCTCCTATTTTTCTGATGCATAAAGTCAAGACTAGATGTAATGAAATCAAGGATGAAATCAAGTAACCAGTGCTGATTTTTTTTCCAATGTAGCATTTAAACAACATGAACCTGATAAGACAGGGTCTCACAAACGAAACAGTTGTTCAGTGAAAATCCTTGTCAGTTCTGTATCACAGGTTATTCCTCTGTCTTATGTAGTCCATTGATGTCAGATTCCTGGAAAGCAAAAAGTACACACAGAGAAAATGGGAAGAGAGCAGGTAATCATTGCAGGGGTTCTGCCAAAAGTGTCTGCTCTGTGTATCCAAATTTATATCCTTCATATCTATAGTATGTTATTGAAGTCTGATTCCCTGCTGCCTTGCAAATCATTTGCATCTCTGCACTGTGATATAAAAGGCTTCCTTGCTGATTAGATAGCTTTTTATATCTTCTCAGCACTCGTGTTTCTCTGACATAGATATCTATGCAAAGTACAAGGCTTTTGAGGATCCGGCCCTTGTAGTTCATGCTTCATTGCCACAAGGTAAGTCAAAACAGCACTCACGCAAAATGTGGGAATGGGAAGTCATGGGGAGGGTTCACTGTCCTCCTCTGCCTGGCATCTGAAGGTTACTGAAAGCCAGACTAGACCCAGGCACAACAAGTCAGAGTAATCCCCAGCCCTGCTTCCCTGTGAGCCGCTTGCCGGACAAGATCACTCTAATTGAACTCAGGAAGCTTGTCCCGTGCCCCAGCTTGCATTCTCCACTGGTGGGGGAATGGTGGCACCGATGGAGAAGTGCCAGGGTTGGCTGCCAGCTGGCTGCCGGAGGCGGCTTCGGATGAGTGCTTCTTCCCATGGGTGGTGTGAGCTCTGCCCCGCACGGCTGTGCAAGTGAAGCTTGTAGCGGCTGAGGATCTGGTCCTTCAAGTTAAAAGGGTTGAAATATGCATGAAGCATAAGGTGACATTTTGAGTGTCTCAGATCAGAGCATGGACGTTACTGAATTTAAAATGTAACTGCAATTTCCTGACTAATGGCAAGTCACTTTTATATTCATGCAGTGATTGTTCTTTAGTCTTAAAATAGCCCATTTTACCCTGAGGCGCAGGTGATATCTTTATGATGATGGAGCTACGTTATCCAGCACGTTACAGCTCAGGCCGTTGGTTGGTGCAAGGGCTGTTTATGATCAGCTATCCTTTTTCATTATCGCTCAATTTATATAATGCTTTTGTAGCCTGTTTGTGATTTGCTTGAACAAGAATAGAGCAGGGAAAAAAAAAGAAAAGAAAGAAAAAAAAAACAAGAGATGCACTGGAGAGTCAATGCTGTTGTCTTTTACTTCCTGTAGCCGAGCTGTACAATTTACCATTGTGTCTCCAACTTTCTGAGTCCATTCAGATAACACAAACAGTTAAATTGCTTCAGTAGCCTTATACCTCTGCAGAGAGTCAGCCTGTTTACTAACATTCAGGGCTTTCTGTGGTGGAGTATGCAGGATATCATAAATAAGGTATTCAACAAGAATGAGATAACAAAAAGAACTCTGGGACATATTTGCTATTCATTCAAAATAAAAACCTTGCACATAGTAGCAACCACAGAAAACCGAAGGCAGGCTTTTCAGCAGAGTAGGAGCATCCCCAGCCTGGGCATTTGCTGCACTAAGGGAGAAGGTGTAGAGGATGGAGCTGTAGCTGCAGCTGTCACAGAGGCAGGACAACAACTCGGGGGAAGGAGAGAGCTGGATGGGTGGGTGCCCCTCTATCTCCTTCCAGCAGCACTAGCTGCTGCCCCACAGACCCTAACCCCTGGCTCCACATTGGCAGCAGCAGCAAGCAGCGCTGCTTCCCTGGGCTCTGGCAGAGGCAAAGGGGATGGCGACCAAAGCTGTTTTGCTGCCCTAGGAGCCCGTTGCTTTAGGCTCCTGCCTGCTTTGCCCATGAGCTGTCTGTAATGCCAGGAATTACCTTTGGTTCTGCTAAGCACAAAAAAGGTTAGATGAGAGGCTGTAGTAATTACAAGAGTGAATTGTCATGGCATAGGAATTTGTGGAAGTGATGCTGAGGCCCCAGTCGGGAGGAGTGTTTTGAGCGACATACCTGCTAATTTGCCTGGAACTAGCCTGCTTATTTAAAAAAGAAATACTGCTGCCTGCATGCAGTGAAGCCCAGCTAATCAGCAGTTCCTAGAAAGTTTGACATGAAAGAAAGGCAGATTCAGCATCCAGATGAGAGAGGTGCACAGGAGTCTCAACAGGTAATGTTTTGCTGTAACTCCCAGTATTTGTGTACCGTCGTCGCACCTCCTGTTTGGCACAGACCCAGCCAGCTGTCTTTGCTCTAAAGGCTGTATATGGCATAACTGTGGTTACACTTGCAGCCGCTCTCCTTGCCCCATCTTTTTATCCATCTCTTTAGCTGTGCGTAATCTGGTGTGTCACTGGGGCAGGTGCAACCATTGCCTTACTCATCTGTACTGTGCCTAACACAGGAGCATTCATCAGAAACTAGTAGGTCCTGCTGCAATACAAAGAATAATAACCAGGAGTAGTATGATCAGGCACGGATTTACTGGGTGGGAACAGGGTATGTAGGTGTGGGAAGAGGGCAGTGAGGAAGGGGAGAGTAGTTTGAGGGCCTCTAGGTGATGATATCCTGGAGATTGCTACCTCAGCGTTTCTAGCTTAAATAGTTTGACACAGAGATTCTGGCAGGTACCATGTAATTTTATTTTTTTTTTCCCCGCCATAAATCTGACTTGGTGTCTGATGGAATAATCACCAGAACTCCAGCAAACAACACAGCTGCTAGTGATAAGCTGTTTCTTCTGACGACTCAATGTATAGCTGTGTTTGCTGGATATTGCAAAATGCAGCACATTTGATGTTTGTGCACTTCTGTTTTCCTTCTGATTATTTTTATGTGCATCTCCCTCTCTCTTTCTCTCCTGTATACAGATGTTCGTATTCACCCCATGGAGCCTATGCCCAAAGCAAACTTGCCCTTGTGTTATTTACCTATCAACTACAGCATCTTCTGACTGCAAATGGAAGCCATGTGACTGCTAATGTAGTAGACCCTGGAGTAGTGAATACTGAGCTCTACAAGCATGTCTTTTGGGCTGTAAAAGTGGCCAAATGGATGACAGCCTGGCTATTTTTCAAGGTATGCAGTTTTTTAAATAATTTTGTTGCCGTGCCCCTGCATTGTCAGAGCTGTAGTCAGCACGGAGCTGAAGGTGTTTCGGAGTTCATCATAATGTATGGTATTTATTGCATTTCTCTGTGCTGATGAGATGTACAGAACTGATACCCAGAACAAACACTTATTTTAAATGGACGGAGCGAGCTCTCAAAGTAAGGGAGGGGAATGCCTTTGACTGTCTCTGCCCATGCACTGATTATCTCTGTCCTGATCTATCCGTGTGCCTTTGTGCGTGCATGGGGGCAAAACACCATCCTAACACAGAGCCAGAATATGCAAAGTGTTCCTTGGAAATGTCTTGTACGTCCTCTTAATGAGAAGCAGACATGATCTGGCATGGTCTACATGTATGCAACATTATAGAGAAGAGGGCAAAGGGAAGAAGGAACCTGTACAAAAATGGTGGTGGGAAGTGGCGATACTCGAGGCTGTGCGGGTGTGGACACTCGTGCTCTGGGAGGTGGGACAATTTTCATTTAGCTTTTTAATCCTAACACATACTTGTAATGGTACCTGATTTTCTATTATCTATTCCTGGTCTGCATTAGGAGACTTAAAGCTGTTTGAAAAAACCAATCCAGAAGTGGACCAGACTCAGTTACGATTAACTTCAGTAACATTTTGTAGTGGTGTAAGTCGATCAATCTGAAATCAGTTTAGCTGCGTAGCTGCAATCTCCTCATGCGGACAAGCCTTAGGAGGACTTGTGCTGAGAAAATGTGCTGCTTATAACTCTTTCAGAAAGTAGTTTTGGATTAAGTGAATGGAACCTGATTCCATTACAGAAAATTAAATGTCCTAATTAAAATGAAGTATTTTAGATCAAGGGGCATGTCCCACAAAGCAAATTAATTTTAAACTTTGATATGGAAATACCACTAGCTTTAATTTTAGAAATGAAACTGGAGGCTGGAAGAGTGGCTGTAAAATAAGATGCAAACAAATAAACCCATATTTAAAAAAATTAATAGTATCTTCTGAGTACGCCTTGAATATTGCAATAAAATTGTAATAGGAATGCTCATAATATGTAATGCATTCTTAAAGGAGCAGAATGCAGCTTTCCCAGACCGTATATATTAAACTTGTTTTGCTTCTTGTGATTGCCATTTTAAATATCAGTCTTGGGTGGTGGTGGTTTTTCATTGGACTTACTTCACCTTGCTAACATAACAGTTTCATGTAGATGTTTAGGTTGTGCTCAGCATTTCCTCTAGAGCCACAAAATTCTGACAAAATTTCCGTGTCTGAGTGAGAATTGAGTCTCTTGTTTACAGCGCTCAATCCAGTTCAGTTTTATTGATGTGCCCAGGGAGACATTTTTGTATTATACTGACCATGTTTAGACACTGAATGGGATGTCACTGAACACACACAAAATGAGTTTGGATTTATCACAAGAAGGAGTCTCATACTTACAGCTCTAATAGCAATGCCGCCGATCGTTCCTGATCACTGCCTATTCTTTGGATGAGATACCGCTCTAAAGGAATTCTGCCTTGCAACAGGTGATGGACAGACATACTGACTTGCATGGAAGTGCGATGTGTGTACTGCCTGAAAAGCAAATGCATCAATTGCTTTTTGAGTCAGAATAACTTCAGGTTTGGATAAGTGAATGCTTCAGTTACCGAGGTTGAGATTTTCACATTTTTCTATAACACTCAATGTGTTTTTCCAATAAGCCAAAGGTGAGGGAAACTCTTACTATCACTCTTCCCATCCTCCCTTAGACTCCTGAGTTACGGCTCCGACTTCTACTCTTTGCTTATTGCTTAAGACATGTTTATGTATTCGGGATTGAGTTTGCCTTCCTTTCTCACATTCAGGAGCACTTCATCACATAGGTACACCCTGTTCAGCTCCGGCAGAACTGCATCACAAGGCAATGTTTAGCTCCATGGCAAGCTCACGTTGAAAGCCTGCCTGGCGGTTTGAGTAGCACTGTACCGAGCACTGTAGTATTCAGCACTCAAGCCTGGGTGGGTCTTGTGTTGGTCTTGTGCATTAGGGTAAATTTCCCCTGAGAAAAGTAAGAAAGCAAGTACAAGACAATTCAGTTGTCTGATAATATTAACTGATAGTTGGTATTATGGATTTCTTCTCCCCTGGAATTTTGTTCCCGAGTGCACATATATGAATCTTCCTTCTAGGATTATGGCAGTAATGCAGTGAAAATGAGGTGATAGCTCTCTAATCATATTGGCTCAACTAACTTTTATCACCCTGAAGTATTCCGGAGTGGTTTCTAAACGCATGCAGGAAATTGCTTCACCCACTGCAACCTGGCGCTCGTGAGAGCCAACACAGCCCAGATAGCTCTGGTGAGGAAATGCATCACAGATTTATCACATCACATTCCCTCAGGAGAGAGTCAACATGTTGTTTGATTTAATTCCAAAATATTGTGGCAGAGCCTCCACTACCTTTAAATGCATTTCCGCCAGCACTGGTCCCAGTTGCATTCAAGTCAAATACTTCCTAGGGATTGCAGCCTGGCCCCCACTCTCGCTGGGCTGCTCGTATTTGAGGTGGCTCAGTGTGGCGGACAAGGCTGTCAGCTCAACATCCGCCTCAGAGCCGCCTCAAGATATTTAGATACTTAAGCAAATAAACCTACAGTCTCGTAAATAGGCCATGATATGTACTTGTAATTTACTCAAAGTATTAACAGCCTGAGTTTCTCAGAACTGTGAAACACTGTCTTCTGGTCTTCATACGTAGCTGTCCTCGTTTCAGCTGGGATAGAGTTATTTTTCTTCCTAGTAGCTGGTACAGTGCTGTGTTTTGGATTTAGGATGAGAATAATGTTGTTAACACACCGATGTTTTAGTTGTTGCTGAGCAGTGCTTACACTAGTCAAGGACTTTTCAGCTTCCCATGCTCTACTGACTGAGAAGGCTGGAGGTGCACAAGAAGCTGGGAGGGGGCACAGCCAGGACAGCTGACCCAAACTGGCCAAAGGGATATTCCATACCATGTGACGTCATGCTCAGTACATAAACTGGGGGGAGTTGGCTGGGGAGCAGCAATCACTGCTCAGGGACTGGCTGGGCATCGCTCAGCAGGCGGTGAGCAGTTGCATCACTTATTTTTCCTGGGTTTTGTTTCTCTCTCTCTCTTTTCTTGTTTTCCTTTTCATTGCAAATTATGATTATGATTATGATTATTATGATTATTATTATATTCTATTTAAATTATTAAACTGTTCTTATCTCAACCCATGAATTTTCTTACTTTTACTTTTCTGATTCTCTCCCCCATCCCACCGGGGCAGAGGGAGGGTGAGCGAGCAGCTGTGTGGTGCTTAGTTGCTGGCTGGGGTTAAACCACAACAGGAGCTCAGTAAAAATCTCAGCCAAATCAGTTTGGTTTTTTTTTTCCCCAACAAGCTGCAGTGAGAGGCACCCCTGTAGAAATAAGATAGGCCAAGCTAAAGGAGCCAGTGACAGTCATAAAAATTGTGAAATGAATGCCTGCCCTTTAGAAGTGATGGTTTCATTCTTTCTCAGCTCGATTCTTTCTCAGGAAAGTTATTGTCTGCTGTGATACTTGTTCTTTAATTTTCCGTTTTGCAAATGTTTTCTCTATGTTTTTAATAAACAGGGATTGCACCTGTCACACGCAAGAGAGAAATTATGTTTATTCCTCAAAAAAATAAATTGATTTCTACCCCTATGACTTCTCAGTAAATAAAAGCTGATGAGCTGTCACAGTTCTCTGCAGAGTGTGGTGAAATATGTTATCCCTTCGAAGTTTTAACATAAAGTGATCTTCTTTTTGAAGACATAAAGTTCAAACTAGTAAACAATAACTAATTAATAAGATAATAATAGCCTGAAAAGACATTGGTTGGGCATCAAATTGCAATTTAGCCAACTGTGCAACACACCAGTTTTAGTGATGGGTACTGTCCAAGCTGGAAGCTGGGAAGGTACCATTTCCTTCTCAAGTATTTCTGCTTCTGCTACGGATACTGAATATTCATTCTTAAGCCAGATGGCCTCTGCTTGTGATACAATTAAAATGCCTTAGAGCAAAAAAAATGTTGACTCTCATTAATGTCCAATGTCAGGGACTGTTCTGTTTCATACAACTTCATGATGCCATCGAAGTAGAGACATTTCCCGCATAGCAGCGCTATAAACTTCCCCCAAACCTTCTTTATGACAAGCTGGGTGAATGTGTCATTATCAGATATAGAGTATTTGGTCCTTTCAGCCACCTCAGGTTGTTGGTATTTAGGAAGGCATTGTGGAAGGAAGACTGCACATCAGATCTTGTCTCAGCTGTCATTTCCAAAGACATAGTGCCATGTAAGTGATTATTGACTGACAAACTGGAAATGATTAGGATTAGTGACCCCAGCGGCCTGTAAAAGTGAAGGGAAAGGCTTCAGGAATACAGGCTAGAAATCAGCCAATATAAACTAGTTAATTTCTTTTGTCTGTCAAAATAGGCTTAACTTCAGCGTAATTTTCCTATAACATTTTTAAAGAAATGCTTCCAGTCTGTAAGTGCTGCTAGAAAACAAGATCTAAAGAACCTGGATTCGTCATTCATGCCAGAGGACATAGTCATGCAGGTCTTATTGCAGCATTTCTTATTCAAACTGTCCCTTTGGTACTGTGAATGTTGAAAATTCATTTCATCCTCCCCCCCGAGGTGTCAGAAGACAAACACATCACCACACAACAACGCCAGCTGTACAGAACGAGAATAATTAAATTCTACAGCTGAAAGCAGCAATTCATCAGCATCAACATCTTCGGTCCATGTGAGTGTGTGGTCCTCACGTAAAGCTAGTCTGGAATTTTCTCACAAAATGAAAACTCCTTGCAGAAACATGTCATTTGCGGTTAATTTTTACAAAAGGCTTTTCAGATCAAAAGTGGGGTTCTGGTCAAAATCAGAGAGAAGGAAACAGTCTACTTTATCCCAGTAACTCTGATCTTTAAACA